AAATAAAAAAAATGCACTGTGTTGTGGAAAGTGGCGGCCGCCACTTTTCCCGCCTTCAGAAGATGCTCAAACCACCTGCGGCCCGACTCCGAACACCAGTACTTGGCACAAGTTCCCACTTCCCCACGGAACCGGCCCTGCTACTCCGCCCAAGGGTCGCCGCCCTCCCTAAATTCTCGACGGACTCACAGGAGGGGCTATTTCCTCCTGTCGGAGGGAGTGGTGGTTTAAAAACGTTGAGTGTTGTTTCCCGTACACGGGAGGGGATCTGAGACATAGCGTCTCGTTCCTAGTCAGCGATGATCTCCCAATGGATATCCTGTTGGGTATGTACTATCTTTCGGTTGCACAACCCCAGTTTGACTGGGACCGAAAAGTGGTTAAACACACTTTGCCCGGTGGGGGGACCGCCAAATTACGTAAGTTTAAGGCTAGTAGTCTGATCGAGTCCTATGGGTACATGTGTGCGGACACGTTCTACATTTATTATAAGCAAAATATGAAGGAGGGTATGTATCTAGTTTACGTCTCTGCAGCAGGCGGGCGGGTGAAAATCCCGCCGGAGATAGAGGGAGTAGTCGCTAAGTACCCTGATCTATTCGAAGAGCCAAAAGGGGTTGTTGAGAGGGAGGTCGTCCACGCGATAGAGATTATCCTAGGGTCTAGCATTCCAAAGGGTAGGATCTATCGGATGTCTCAAGGCGAGCTTGATGAGCTTCGCCGAAAGCTCAAGAAACTCGTAGAGAAGGGTTGGATCCGGCCGAGTGTCTCCCCTTACAGATCTCCAGTCCTATTCGTACCAAAGAAGGGGGGAACTTTGAGGATGGGCATTGACTATAGGGGCCTCAATGCCATCACCGTCAAGAACAGAGAGCCCCTACCACACATCGATGACTTGTTGGACAGAGTGCAAGGGTGTCCGTACTTTCAGTAAGGTAGATCTGAAGTCCGGGTACCATCAAATTTCAATACGGCCTGAGGATCAACACAAAACCGCTTTTCAAACCAGGTACGGTCTGTACGAGTTTGTGGTGATGCCTTTCGGCTTTTGCAATGCTCCTGGCACCTTTCAGCATACAACGAACCGGATCTTTCATCACTACCTAGATAAGTTTGTCATCGTGTACCTTGATGATATACTATTTTCAGTAGGACTGTCGAGGAGCACGTTGGTCATTTAGACAAAGTCCTCAGTATCCTTCGGCAGCACAAGTTCAAGATCAACGACGAGAAGTGCGAATTTGGCCGCACCCGTATCTTGTACTTGGGTCATGAGATTTCCGCGGAGGGATTGAAGCCCGATGACGCGAAGGTGGCCAGCATTCGTGATTGGCCGCGTCCTCAATCTGTGACTGAGATGAGGTCCTTAGGGATGACCGGCTACCATCGTAATTTTGTGAAAACTATAGCGTAGTTGTCGACCCTTTGACAGACCTGACTCGCCTTGACACCCCATGGGAGTGGACATACAGGTGTGAGGCAGCCTTCAGACATCTGAGCATGCTTTGACACACCATGAGGTCTTGAAACTTCCTGATCTTGACAAGCCGTTTATAGTAACCACGGACGCCAGTCAATATGGCATAGGCGTCGTGCTCGCGCAACAGGAGGGGCCAAAGTTGAGGCATGTCGAGTACATGTCCAAAACGATGCCCTCTCAGACGTTGGCTAAATCCACCTATGAGGAGCTTTATGCGATTTACAAAGCGCTAACCCACTGGAGACACTACCTCCTTGGGAGGTTCTTCTACGTCAGGACTGATCATCAGACCCTGAAGTGGATGAGGACCCAGCCTGTGCTTTCTGATGCGCTGAAACGCTGGATCGAAGTCATTGAGCAGTACGACTTTGAGCCCCAGTACATCAAAGGAGAGCACAACAAAGTTGCTGATGCGCTGTCGCGTAGGCCGAACTTTCTTGGTGCGTTGATTACTGAGTTTGGGCTTGCGGGCGATGCTACTCGCTCTTTGGTGGAAGCCTTTCGCGAGGATCCGTTTATGGCTGAGATCATACGCAGACTCAAGGCGAAGGACAAAGCGACTTCAGCCGAGTTTGAGTTGGTCAACGGCCTGCTCTTCCTTGAGAAGGCCGAGAATAAACATTTGTGTGTGCCTAATCGGGAGTCTTTGCGTAGTTTACTTTTAGGTGAGTGCCATGATGCCACCGGACATTTTGGATATAAGAAGACTGCAGCCAATCTGCTGCAGCAGTTCTGGTGGCCCACGATGATGAAAGATGTCAAGCTGTACGTGGAAACTTGCCAAGTGTGTCGGAGGGACAAGCAACGTACGCAGGCCCCTCTTGGGCTTATTAAGCCCCTTCCGATTCCGGAAAGGCCCGGTGAGAGCCTGTCCATTGACCTCATGGACACGCTGGTCACAAGCAAGAGCGGAATGAGACACATCTTTGTCATTGTGGATAGGTTTAGTAAGTATGCTAGATTAGTTGCAATGCCTGAAACAGCAAAGGCCGAGTACGTCATTAGGCTGTTCAAGGAATACTGGGTCAGAGACTTTGGGCTCCCAAAGTCTATTATTAGTGACCGGGATGTCAAATTCACAAGCGAGTTGTGGAAGGCTGCAGCTGCAGAACAGGGTACACAACTGCAGATGACGTCCGGGAACCACCCAGAGGCAAATGGGCAAGCGGAGCAGCTGAATCGAACTGTACAGCACCTGCTGAGACACTATATCAAACCCAATCATGTGGAATGGGATGAGAAACTTGCTCTCATTGGATAACAATGCGGTGCACAGCGCAACAGAAGTGAGCCCTAACAGTCTGCTGCTAACTTTTAAACCTAGACTGCCCTTGGATTTCTTACTACCTGGGAAGCAGCCTTCTGCTGCACCAGGCACCCTGGAGTTCGCATACCGACATGGGCGTCTGATGCAGCAAGCTGTCGAACAGATGCACAGGGCGCAGGCAGCGATGATAGAGTCTGAAAACAAGCACCGCCGCCCTTCTAGGGGACAGAGGCTGGGTTAAGTCCTCAGAACTGGGACAAGGGCACGGGATATCCCGCAAGCTCATGCCACAGTACTTTGGACTCTGGGAGGTTCTAGATATAGTCGGGGATGATCCGGATGGGCCGTCATACGTAATTCAGATCCCTGGTCACCTTCGCACTTACCCAGTCTTTCACGCCTCCAGGCTTGCGCCTTCCAAAGAAACTGATCAGTTTCCCTCGCGACGCTCAATGCTGCCCCCAACCATGGATGGAGAGGTCGACATCGACGGCATCGTAGATCACAGGGAAATACCAGTTCCAAGACCTACAAGCAGTCGTCCTCGGAAACCGAAGCTGCAGTATCGCGTTCGGTTCAGACATTACACTGATCCTAAGGAGAATAGATGGTTTACACGGGAGGAACTGATGCAGACCGCTCCACAGGTTGTCATGCACTATGAGAAGTTGCTGCAGAAAGGAAAGCGCCAGATTGACTAAAGGGAACTTCTCAGAGGACTATCGAAGTATGGAGGGAATTGGAGGATCGATGAGCCCCTTTAGACCCTGCAAGCAGCACGGTCGGCCGCCCTAAGTGAAGGCAGGCCCGACCAAGGCCACAAGGCCTATTTTCAGGCTACCACGCAACTGGGGAAAATTCAGGCAGTTGCGCAGCGCCAGTTGGTTGAGAGTGCCCAGGCCCTTTTCGTATGCAACTGAGGCAGGCCCTGGGCCAGATACACAACATGGGCCGAACCCAAACTGCGGGCAGTTGAGCACAAGTAACCGTCACAAGCCCTGGGCCTGATTCGTTAGGACCGGGGCTCAGCCTCTCGGGTCCTACCGGAAGCTTCTGGGCCGAGGCCTAGCACAGCCTGACCACACGCAGCTAGCAGGGCACTTCCATTTAGGAAAGACCCTGCCCCCGCATTCGGCATTCGGGCACTGGCTGCATGCTGCGCTACACGCTGGCCAGGCTCACGTGCTCACAGGCGAGCCGAGAAAGAAGCAGGCGGCCATAGACGAGCTGCGTTGCATAGCTGGATGAGGCGCATGGTGGTCCTTGGGTGCACGTGGCATCTGTGAGTGGGGGATAGAGGTTGTGAGTGATACGAGAGACATACCTGGTGCTTGAGGCGAACGGCATTGGCCAAGATCTGCTCGTACTTCGGGGAGCTGTTGACGTCACCAGCGGCATTGTAGATAGGCTAGATAGGATCTGCCATTTGTAGTCTGGGCGCAGAGCTCCAGATAGGATGTCTACATTGGTTCTTTGTTGATGATGATGAGACTATTCGAACATTGTCACTTATGAGCTTTTGCTGTGCTCTTATTGGTGGGACTCATGTTACAATTCTGCTTTTGGTTCGAGGTCACGACTATCTGGTCTCATGTGTACGATGCTGCTTGGTTTCTTAAGTTCGCTCTCACTCATTTTCCTTGCAAGTGTGTCAATTCAGCTCCAGTGCTTCAGCTAGCATACACCATATCAAGGCACTGAGCATGGCCTTCAACACTCATCCTATTAACAGACAAAGTTGAAGGCATTCGGAACCATTTTGTTCAAACCCCTCCCTTCCTTCACAGCCCCTTCCCCACCTCGCCAAACACAAACAACAAGATGACAGCATGCTCGGTTATGCAAACAATGTAAGAGAACACGCCATCCCATGTATTGATATTCAGCCGCTAACACCGTGTGAAGCCGAGCCGATGTAATGCAACAACAATAACACAGTGTGTCAACTCAGCTCCAGAACTTCACCTAGCATACACCATGCGAAGGCACTAAGCATGGTCTTCAACACTCATACTATTAGCAGACAAGATGGCAGCATGCTCAGTTATGCAAACAATGTGAGAACACACCATCCCATGTATTGATATGCAGCTGCTAATTCTCATCTTTCCACCCAAATGTGCAACCGCCTCTCCCGATCCTTCTCACAACCGCAATTTGAACAGAATAACTAACCAAGTTCCTGCCCAGCATGATAAGGGGCTGGAAACGGGATGAGAAACATATCTCAGACCTTAGCACAGGAAGACATACCTGAACAGAATCAACAGCTGGTGGAGCGAAGTAGATTGCACCTGGTGGCTCCAGGGGTAGAAAGGGTGCACCGTATCCACCTGCAACAGCCCCACCAGGCGTAATGACAGGAACCCTGCAAACAAGTTGATTCCAGAGTTACTTTTAAGATGTTGGCGCTCAACCCTCCAGACACTTTGGGTGGCAACTCACTCAACTGAAGGGCTCCTCCCGAGAGGTGACAATGGGAAAGTAGAAAGCCATGTAACAAAGAGGGAAAGTTTTCCTCCACAAAATCATCAGGAATGTACGGCACAGACAGAACAAAGCATCAAGACACATATATCAATGAAGGGAGAGCATCTTCCAAGCAATAAGGTGGTCAGGCACAGAAGGTGCCCTCCTCAGTCATAGGAGTGGTGAAAGCAGGAATGGCAGGGGGAGCACAGGGAGAAGACAAAGGCAAAGATAGTCACAAAGAAGGACGAAGAAAGTGAAAACAGGAGGAGGAGAAGAGGAGAGAAGAAAAGTACAAATATGACAACAGAGAAGGAACTGCTGGGGCTCAACCACAGGAAGCCGAAGAGGAAGAAGAGGAGAAAGAAGTGCAAGAAGAGGAAGGAACTGCTGGGGCTCAACCACAGGAAGCCGAAGAGGAAGAAGAGGAGAAAGAAGTGCAAGAAGAGGCGAAAGAAGAAGAACCTGGACACACTACTGTTGCTGTTGTTCCTCGTCTTCTTCTTCTTCTTCTTACTCTTCTTCTTTTTGTTCTTCTAGAAGAAGATGAAGGGGAAGAAGAAGAAGAAGAACACAATGAGGAGAAGAAAGTTCAAGAAACTGACGAAAATAACCTCCACTGCGGCAAAGGAAAGGTTATCCATAGATTTTCAAGCTTGTGCAAGTATGGCACCTCCACTGAAACAGCAGCAATTTCTGCTTCCATGACGGCAAACTTCAATGTATCTTCAAATCTAAAACAAATGAAACCCCCATCAAAGCAAACACTCTGCACATCATGGCTTGCTTCAGTCTACACATATATGTGAGAACTCACAAGTGTTGTGCAGAATCGAGAACCAACCAAGAAGGTATGGAGCAAGTGAAACACAGCGGAAGACTGATATCAAAGATCTGACTCACGACTCTCACAAAGAGCATCCACTCATCATCATCATCATCACGCAGGTGTGAGTGGGTGGCGCAGACAGCGACGAAGCGCCAGGCCCAAAGCCCATACACAGATGAAGAGGACGAAGAGATGCTGAGGGAGGAGACTACGAAAGTCGTCAACCCGGAATGTCGTCCATATTGAACCCCCAACATAGCCCCCCAAAACATCTGAGTCTGCATGCCAATCTGAGTCCAATGTCACCCAATGCCACCTCACAAATCTCTCTCTGTGTCGTAACCAAAAGAAGGTGAAGAGCACTGGAGGGAAGAGGGGAGGAGGAGGAGAGGAAGAAGGAGAAGCAGGTAACTCTCTCTCTCTCTGTCTCTGGGAAACCTGCCTTTAACCTGCCTAAAGGTGTCCTCTTGATGCAGGTACCGGTGCGCGGACGATGAAGCTGGAGCTATGGCACCTCCAGTGAGTCCTCTTGTAAGTACCTGGCCTCCGCCTCCAATCTCAGCTCTCTCACTCTCTACTACAGCCCTCCAGCGCTCATCCTAATGCTAACCTGCGCCCAACACGTAGACTAACACAGTCTCCAAAAACTACCTCCCTCTACTAACGAAGGACCAACTAAATATAGCACTGGTCCGAGTGAGTCGGCCCCGAAATTGGCGCTAACTGGCGCCTAAACTGCTGTGAAGCTGAGCCCGGCTCTGAATTGAGATCTGGTGCCAAAACTGGTACTCAAAAAGGTCAACGGCCAGGCCTCACTCGACTGACGCCTAAACTTCTGGCCCCTAACTGACCTACCAGACTACCAGACTGTGCAGCGTAAATGAAACGGCGCTCGAAATATCCCCGCCTGAACCTGAAACTGGCCCAGGCTCTAACCTGGGCCCGAAGTATCCCACCTAAACCTCTACCCGCTAGCCTAGGCCTACCTAACGGGTCCTGCAGGGCCCGTGTGGAATCTGTGCATGCCACACCCCCGCCTCCTTGAAAGACCGAGTCTACCAACAAGAGCGGAGCTGTCTATCGGAGGGAGGAACCATAGTCCGGGTGGGATGGGTAGGTTGCTGCTAAGAGGATTCGATGGCCAGACGTTGGTGCTCGTAGTCGGCGTAGATGTCTGGTGCGGATGTCGTCGCGCTCACATTGTCGGAATCTGACTTTGTACTACATCAGCTTGTTGTCGTAGGGGCGATGTGTGATGACCCATTCAACCTCTTGATGGCCATCCATTGAGGGAGGGGTCTTGCAATAGCCGATCTCCAAATTCGTTGTTCTTGGCCGGCGTGTAGGTCGCGAGCTTCAAAGCGTGGAAGACCGGGTGGACCAGCAGGTGAGGTGGAATGTCAATCACGAAGGACACACTGTCAGGCTAATCACCAACTGTGGACTGGACGAGCCATGGCCCAAACCATGTCGGGAGGAGCTTGCGCAAGACGTCTCATTTCAATTCAAACTCCTCGGAGGAGACCCAAACTAAATCACCCTCGCGGGTGGGACAAGGCACGTGGCGCCTGTTTGCTTGCTGCTGCATGCGGACCTGGGCCTTTTGCATGGTTGCGCAGGCTTTGGCCAGTAGCTCCCGCATCTTCCGAATGGATGGGGTGTGCAAGGGGCGCCAATGTCGGCAGCCTGCATAAGAAGGAAGTCGGCGAAGATCCATCCTTTCCGACCTCCAAGGTTCAAGCTCAAATGGAGTTACGCCGATCGCTCGGTGCAACGAAGTGTTGTAGGCGAACTTGATGTCGGGGAGGCGGTCGACCCAATGCTTTTGATCCGGGCGTACAGAGCATCATTTGGGCAGTTTGATGTGCCCTCTCCGTTTGCCTGTCCCTTTGAGGATGTCGAGCCGAGCTTGGTTTCATGGCGGTTCCAAACTCCTTCACGAACGCAATCCAAAAGGCCGACATAAGCTGAGTGCGATGTCCTTCAGGACGCCGTAGCCGCAAATCCAGTCGGCATGCAAGATTTGTGCAAGCTCGGGAGCCGTCGCATAGTACTTGCATGGGAGGAATCGAGCATGCTTGCTCAACCGGTCAACCACCGGGAGAATACTGTCATGGCCGAAGCGGTCCCGCTTGAACAGACCCGTGACGTCCATGACAATAGAGACACCGGTTTCCCACGGAATGGGAAACAACCATAGCTCGTCATAAGGCTTGTGGTTGCAAGGTCTGTTTCATGAGCAAACTCAACAGGACTCACAATGCTCGAGGACGTTGGGTACCAGGCCGTTCCATCGAAACTAAGACCGCATACGAGCAATGGTACAGTTGGCTCCAAGAGGCTAAAGATTGTATCTGACGACTCGACTGTCCCGGAGGACACGAACCCTCCCAAGGACCGGTACTGACCGGCGGGCTGCTCGATGTGGCACGGTAGGCCCAAAATCCGAGCTGTGGGCTGCACAACGGACTGTCTAAGTCTTGAGAGGATCTGCTGACCGCGTCGTCTTGTTTGCGACGTTAAAGAATTCCTGAGGAGTTACGGGGATCTCCTTAAATGCCTCCTGGTCAGCAACAGATCCTGTAGTGACGACTGTAGTATTAGAGTCCAGGCTAGAGACCATAGTTGACAGGGTTCTATACTGATCCTGTGGTCCATAGACTAAGTCGGTCTTAAGTAAGTCGGTCAGGGGGGACGTCTAAGTGGTGAGGAGTGGAACCGTCACTTAAGTGGGGGTTTGTCACCATGGTAGACACGTACAAGAACGAGCACCTCCCCTTATACCGCAGAGCTGGATGCGAAGGCCGCCGCCATCCTGAAAGAGAGAAGAGAGGAGGTTAAGAAGAAGGCCTTGATAGAAGAACAGGCGGCGAAGTTGAAGAAGATTGAGGAGGAGATGGCCAGAGAAAAAAGAGAGGTTAAAGAAAGAAGAAGAAGAGAATCTCAAGGCAGTAGAGAACGACCGCTGGTTTACTAGAACAAAACTTCTGGAAACAGCTCCCGACATAGTTAGAGCTTACGAGAGAGATAAGAAAGGTAAAGGTCCTGCCTTGGACTGAGTTATTCTCAGAGGACCTCGAATTTAGGCCGGCGGGAGTGAAACGGTTTTCACCTGTTAGCAGTAGCAAATGCAAATCCCAGGGCTCGATCCCTAGTTCTCACCTTACCTGTATCTGTGTCGACTTCGAGTGTTTGAACCCGTGACCTGTGTTTTGACAGTTGTTGTTGTCTGTCGTAGGTCTCTGTAGTGGTAGGGGTTCGATCTGTAGGTCTGTCGAGTCGGAGTCACAGCCCTGTAGAGGTTGTAGCTGTAGGGATCCTGAAAGGTCAAGGTCGTAGCTGCTATAGTCCTGAGAGGTCAAGGTCGTAGCTGCTACAGTACTCGAAAGGCCAAGTCCACAAACTTCTGGAAGGTCCGGAAGTGGCCTTTCAAAGCTGCTCACGTTTGAGACAGCAAGTGGGCAAGTGATGGAGTCTACCCGTGCTGAGTCAGCAGTCCCAGTCCCAGTCTGTCCTAGTCCAGTCAAGCAAGTACCATACGGGACTGTGTACACCACGGGCATGGGAAAGGGCCAGACCAACGCGCTAAAGAGGTATAAATTGAAAGGCAGCGACCAGCCATTCATTCATTCCTGCGAAAGCCATGCGGAAGCGACTTGTGCGAGGTGGTCTGCAGTAGGCCCGAAGACGAAGTGGGCGACAAGAAAGCTTAGCCGTAGCGATAGGGTAGCAGCGGCCATAGCCGCCATAGCTGATAGGAGACAGAGTGGCGTATGTGAGTGTGCGAGTGTACAGTGTGTTGCGTGTGGGATATACAGGGTGATCCTGTGTGCGAACAGCAGTGTTGAGGAAGTGACGAACAGAGAGTTGTACAGGCGATGAGCCACCATGGTCATTTGAAGTGAACTTGTATCTGAGCTGCGTTCTTGGTTAACTATATCTCTAAGTTTTGAGTGGGCGCTTGACGCCAGTTTGCTTCGCAACCTGTGTGCATGCATGTGAAGTGTAGATGAAAGCGAGTCTGATTGCACTGATGGGCTGTGAGCCTTCTTCGGGCTCTAGACTCGAGA